TTGAACTTCTTCTTCACTGGAGAGCCTACGTGCTTCCACTCCATGGACTGCCGTTTGGACTCAGGCTCATATTGGCAAACCCATGTCTGGTCACATGTGACCACCTTCTTCAGAAACTCATCACCATCCTTCTCATAGCGGCAGAGACACTGCTGGCACAACTCGACCCTCCTCTGTTTGTGCTCTGCAATAAGCATCTTTGGCACCCACCGGCAGCTGACCTTCGAGTAGCCAAGGTCACCAGTACAATTTTGTGTACCGTCCCAACAGATAAGCTCAAAGTCCTTGCAATGTCATCCACTGTCACCCTTTTGTCCGACTGAATGAGGTCATTGACTGATTCGATCACCTCAGGAGACCTCACTTCTGTAGGCCTCCCAGGCCTGTCTTCATCCTCAACACCGCTCCGTCCTTTTTAAACAGTTTTGCCCACTTGTAGACATCTTTTCAGCTGAAACATGTGGCACCATACACAGTTGACACTCCTATGAATTTCAATTGGTTTGCACCCTTCAGCAACCAAAAACTTGATAACTGACCGCTGTTCAACCCTGGAGCATACTTCTTGGTCGGCTATCTTTGTTAATCGCCAGAACTCTCAAAGTTTTTTTCAATCTGCAAGAGAAATTACATCTATGTGAAAAAGAAGTAAAACAACAAAAATAAAAGAAAGTAAGCTTTCATCTGTATTATAAGTCCCTATACCGAAAAATTCACCTTATTTATTGAAGGACCATCGTACCAACGGGTTGATCGCTCGTATATGCTGGATGAACTCTGTGGATGCTGGTATATGAATAGATGCAGGCTATCTGTATTTCTCAAGGGCATTCGACCGTCTGGACCAGCGCATTCTACTGCACAAGCTTTAGATTTACGGAATTCGCGACCCCGTCCTGTGCTGCATAGGCGGCTTTCCCTTTCGACGTCACCTGAATGGGATGATTCACAGCACCCTATCGGAATCAACCGAAGTCCAGTGCGGTGTACCTCGGAGCTCGTTACTTGAGCCCTGTTTTTTCCTAGTCTTCATAAATGATCTCGCGAGCGTGCTGTCTCCAAACCCTATTATTCGCCGATGATCTAAGGATATGGCGTGCAATCTCTACATTGGAGAATCGCGCGGCCCTGTCAAGTGATCTAGATAAAGACCACACATGGTCCATCGAGTACATGCTGCAGTTTATTGTCATCAATTGCAAAATTCTTAGCATGCGCTATCAAAGTACTCACAGCTGCCGGCTGGGGCCACAAATTCTACAGCGGGCTTCACATGAATGCGATCTCGGCATGCTCGTGCAAGGTGACTTTGGTTATTAGAGGCAGACTGAAATAGCGTGAGAGAAAGCAAATCAGCACTTCGGCCTGCTTTGTAGATCGTGTGGGTAGTTTGTAGCCACAATCTTTCCGAAACTGCTTGGTGCATACGTAAGAAGGTACTCGGAGTACGCTATCCAACCTTGGAAACCCTGATAGAAGCGCATACTCACAACACTCGATACTGCACAATGCACGGCGACAAAAAAACGTAAAAGCTTTGACCCACCTTGCCTACCAACAGGCTGAAAACTCTAAGAGGATACAGCGGACTTTATCGACGTCTACGAGGAGATCCATAGTGATTTATCAGATCCTAAAAACCCCAATCACACTTGCCACCATGTTTAGTAACCCATCTGAGAGGCCATCTGTTCAAGCTGACTTCGTAGTACAGGCGACTGGAATACCGACGAAACATTTTCTCCCCCTCTGAGTGTCACAGCCCTAGAACGCCCTTCCGGCGCATCTACTTAATACCCTCCACCATATCGTTATTCAAAAGCGACTTGATAGCACAGTGACACATTCACACTACATGACAATCGGTTGATGCTATTAAAGCAGAACAAACAGTGCTCAGTGTCATAGTTCTTTCAAAATCCAGACAGAAATACTCCCGCATGTGCTACTGAAAACCTATTAACGAGTCGTATGTCTCACGTGTTATTTTATCGACACTGTGCTTTTATCTTGTACTCTTACCCTAACCACCCTACCTGGCTTGTCAAGCATTTACTTTCTTACACATGGGAACCACTTCTCCATTGCACTGCACGAACCAGCCAGGCACGAGAGAATCCATACGGCCTCGCATGACCGAAGAGCAACCTTGTCGTAAACACTGTCGAACTGTATTGCCCTGGTCAGTAGTGCGTTTGCCGTACATGCACACTAACGAATTTAGGCCGGCGACGGGAATGGCAACTGGGCAGTTGGGTAAAGGGAACGCGAGTCAATTGCCGCGCACATGAGTTGGAACGTATTGTACGGGCAGGGCGTAATCGACGACGCTTAGCAAGAAGCAAAATTAATGTGGCTACGGACAAGACAGGCATGGATTGGATCGACCACTGCTGATGAACGATGCGCTCGCATTAATGAGCAAGAACCCAAGGTGTGAAGTGTGCTATTTATTGTGACGACCTTATGCATCAGCTTTGACCATCAGCCATTCCACTAATCTTCTAACTCTGTCCTGGAGGCTTCCTGACGTACACCGCTTTTGTATCTATCCCTTTTGTATATACATATGCGACTCCCAAGCTTTCTTCTGTTGGGACGTTGGTATGCTCCGCCATTGACCCGTTATCGCCTGATTTTATTATTATTTACTACTGATTTTTGGCGCAGTAGTGTTTACTTTCGTATCCACACAATTTGCTCTAAGTAGACCGCATGAGAAGTGAATATAGGAAGTAGTCATTGGCAAGTTGCCACATTGGAATTTACATGCAATATGTGTAATCTTATGGTTTATGAAAAGGAAATTTTGATCGCTTCCCGGACTCTGCTTTTACTCTCTGTAGGTTGTTATATGACAGTCTGTCCAAGGGGCTAGAATCAGATCGTTCACTATGCAATGTATGGTTTCTCACTGTGTGTGTGTCTGTGTCTAAAGTGCTGGAAATGTAGCAGGCAGACATTCACAGCCTATAACACCCAGAAATCAAGCTCATTGAGATGTCTGCTGGCGTCACGTACATGAGTTGTTCTGTACTTCTCTCACAGGTCTCTGGTCTGTATCCTTGAAAGTTTTAGAAATGATCTCGGTGATAGCAGAATGCGCTGACAGATGAGTATTACTGAGGCACTAACAATCTCTAACTTCATTCGTTCCAGCTTCTGTTGCCGAGAGGCAGTGTGTTGTAATGTGAACGTGCCACATTTCACCTAGCCTTCGCGTCATGCTGCGTACCCAATCCGTGTTGATCCTTTTTCGATTGGCGATTGCTGATGCATCGCTGCTATTCACTCGGCGATATGCAACGAAAAGTGCCAACCGTCATCAATGGCTTACCTGTGTTTCCGCGACTGCTTCACGACTGTCGCTTTCACTGAATTAATGTCTTTCGCGGAAGTTTCGTACTCATTCGTCCGCATTGTATAGTTCAGGGGAAAGCCAACGAAACATGAGAGTTCAAAAACGAAAGGATTAGGGACTGGGTTGTTGCTTTCCTCGCCTCGTTTACTTTCCATTCTCATCTGGGTGTTCCGATGATGTCTGTCTTTCGGCGCCTACCTTGTAGGGTTTCTTTTACGTCACACTGGCGATTACACTACCTGTTGACCTCTGTCCTGTGAATATTCGATGCGTTGCGTACCGTGGTTGTCCCTAAGGTCAGTATAATCGTTCTTTGTACGGTTTTTCGTGGATGCAGTGGATTGTGTTCAGTTGCCCGATACGCTTACTATGCTGACGTGCGTCACATCATTGGTGTGCCTCAAACGAACATTTACTCTTGGTGAGATTTTCACAGCTGTGCATAGTAAAATAGTCGCTGCATCTTCAGTAAAGTGCCAGATGGCCGTCTCCTATTGGAATTCAAAAGCCTTGCGTATCCGACTACTTTTCCCTTATCCGTACCCATCACTCACTCTAATTAGTCAGCAAATTAGGGCAGTGTGTCATTACTAAATAATACTTACCATATCGCGCAACTGACTTTCCTGCTATGCATGTGGTGAACGTGCAAAGAACGGAGTTGGCTCCCAGATCCACAACTTCCGTTGCAAGCCGACACCAATCGAGGTGATTGCTGTTGACTAGAGAGTAATAGGACTGTTTTTGTTTCTCGAGACGAATTTTCGAAGCCAGACTCAGTCACTCAGCCATCACACATGCAGCAATGTGTTAGACAGCCGTTTCGTCATATCGGGACTCGTCGGCGGAGTGCATCCGCCGACTCCTTCTAGATCTGAGCCCGAGACCTTACTCTTGCGGGTAGATGACTTAACGTGTTGGGTTACATGCGTCAGGATTAGTTGCTATCTGTTACCTCGTACTCACCATACACAACTGTACGCTACCAAAGTGCTGAAGACAAGACTGGTCTCAAAGCTACGACTTTGTTTGCTGCAACCTTAGATGTATTCTGAGGGAGACCGCGATACCGATAATTTCAAACATGATGAAACGACCATGTTGGCTGTTCCTAGCGTTTGACCTCTCTATTTAATTCGATTGCGGTGAACTTAAACTCATTCGGAGATCGTCCTGATACCTTTCAAGACAACCAATAAATGGTGTATTTGGACAAATTTTCCTAGTCACTTCCTACACCAAGTGTACTATCGTTTAACATGCTACCCACTACTCTTCTGCTTTACATACGTCACATTCATTCTGTTCCAATCTTACCTTCTTACTTCCAGGAATGTTAACTTTTCCCACGTAATTATTCGGATTGATGAACACGTATCTCTTCGGTATAGGTCGCAATATACATTGACTCTTGTGGTTCTCTTTTCGTGCATTCTCAGCTGCCGTTCTTTTCTTCTGCTAGGCTGAGTTTATCTAAAAATGTTCAATGGATTGCGCAGTGATGCAGTTGTGACCCCTGTGTTTCCATGATGTGTCACCATTTGTCGCTCAACCTTAGCCTCCTTTGATCCCGGGCAGTACTTTATTTCGAATTCTCCTCTTGCTTTCAATGCAAAATCACTTTGCTCTTTTCTTCAAGTTGTTTATAGGCAAATCGAACAGACGAGCGTGTGCCGCGGCTTCTCTCCTAATAAGTGCCAAATTGAATGATATCAAGGGAACCGAACTGACCGCTCTGATTCAAGTAAATTAAAATCTCCCTGTCCTTTCACTTTATTTTTAAATATTTTTATGCACTCCATTCCACACCTTGCCCAAATGCTACACGGTTGGCTCTCTTTAATTAGGGGGGCTTGGTGCATCTCGTCTGCATCTTGGTAACTGTGGTGGTGGCTGAATTTTCGGAATGCTCCAATGTGCAGTTCAATGATAGTCTCGCCATTCAGTTATCACCATTGCGTCGGTCACTCATGCAAGCATGCAATCACGATCGCGTGGAGTCGAAACGATAGCAAGCGGTCGGCAAAGCTTACATTCGCGGCCACCTCTGAAGTACCGCGAAGTCTTTTAATGCGGATCGCACCGGAGCCCGAACAGTGTCCAGCCACTAGAAATTGGCTGCCGAGCAGCGATGAACGAATTGAAAGCAGTCATCATCATTAGTACACACCTTAGGTAATGTGACCCTGTGTAAAGTAGATATCGAACGTATAGGTTACAAAACTAAAAATACAATATAATGTTGCATATTATATTACGCATTAGGCATGAGATCGTGGTTGTAGAAGAAAGCTAAAGTCTATTCAACCAGACTTGCTCGTTCTTATAATTCGGCACGAATGGCATTAAGTATTGAAGCATTTGTGAGAAACTGTCAAGCTTGTCGGTTGGCGAATAAACCTTCTCTACCTGTTTTGGCTCCCGTACTACCGGTACACTACCCCATGAGGCCCAAATTTGCAACTGTTGTTATGGTCCCCTTCACCAGTGCATAAGAAACACCTACTTGTTGCAACCTGCTTTTACAGCAGATGGCCTGAGGTTCATCTGTGTGACCAAGTAATCTCTTCCGTAAGGCTGCGATGGCCTAAACAGCTGTTCAGCCGATTCGGCTTACCAAAGGATGTGGTTACGGATAAATGGTCCACAATTCCGCAGTTACGATTTCGAAACTTTTCTCCAAAGCCGTGATGTAAAACATTCCCGGATTGCCCCCTACAATCCTGTAGCTAATGGCATGTTGGAGCGCCTTAACTGGTCTCTTGAGAAGGCAATACAAGTCATCCAACTAGGAGGGGTGGAGCGGGAAGCAGCTGTCTTAACGGCGCCATTATCAATCAGAACTTTTGAACGCATAGGGACAGGGAAAACATGTGCCGAAATGATGGTAGAAAGACCTTTACACACCAAACTTAATGCTGCACATGTGTCCTTCTCTGTAAATTCCGAAGCGCCAAAGCGCATAACAACATACCAAAAATCCTATGTTAAAAGCTCAATTCCACTGCAGCTGGGATCATTTGTTCAGATCAACAATAGTATTATTGTAATGGGTCACCCAACTTTGTCTACACTGCTGAGAATCACACACGCATGTGGGCCTGGCACATACCGATTGGAAATGGCTTGACAGTCAGCGGCCATCGGCTTTGCAGATCAACTGGACTGGCTTCGCAGTCTAGCCAAGATACGTGTGAAACTTAGGCAGGGCCTGCTCCGCTGTTCTGTGGACTACGCAGGTCCAGACGTACACCCAAGCCAGCTGATCGATACCAACCCGCATGAAACAAGTTTTCCTACGAGAGGAGAGGTTTTGTGATTCGTCACCCTAGGCTTATCCTGATTGGTTAAACTTCGCATAATACTGATTCATCGATTGGCTGACTTCTAACTTAAGTCACCTTTCGTTCTGAGCAGTTGTACGTTCTACGTACCTCTTACAATCTATATCTGCTACATCTGCGTTCTTCTGATACAACACACCTCATTCTTCGGACCAAGGCCCGGTAGTCGAGAAACACCAACTGACGCCAACTTTCATGTGAGGATTTTCATTCCTCTTGACCAAGTCCTCGCTTGGCCTCCCCTCTTCTTGGAGGGTCATTTTGAAGTACTCGTGTGTTTTGGGGCAGGCAACATCTAATTTCCCTCTGCTCCCCTCGTCTTCCACCATCCGCACTCCGGACGCGCAAACAGCGTACGTCGCGGGAGTCGGTGTGCTGGCATGCGCAACACGTGGCCCAGCCATCGGAGCCTGGTGCGTGATATATTGGTGCTGAGCGGTTAACGTACTCTTCCTGTTCCAAATACACGACGCTGAACATGTTCATTGCGTAAGCGTTGTTCCAACCAAACATAAGCTAAGCTGCGAAGGTAGCGATGATCAAACATAGCTAGCGTCTTTGAGTCTGTCGATCTAATGGGTCAGGTTTCACAACCGTACCATAGGGCTAAACTTATAACTGCATTGTAGACTATACTCTTCGGAGCGAGAGTGATGTCACGCCGGCGCCATAGGTGGTGGAGATTGGCCAAAGCACCTCGAGTTTTCGCCATGCGATTCGTGATCTCACCTTCGATCCCAATGGGGCTAATGTAGCTGTCCAGATACTTGCATTCCTGAACGACTTCTAGCTGATTGCCACTAAGGGTCATTGCAGTAGTGCGTCCTTGCTAATCTTGCAAAAGCACTTTGCATTCCGATGAAGCAAAACATAACCCAAAACGATTAATAGCCAGTGCTAATCTGTCCACTGCTGCTTGGCACCTATGTGAACTGTCGCAGATAAGCGCCATGTGATTGTCAAACTCCAAATCAAGAAGTTACTCACCAGGAACCAGGTCCACACCTTGTAGGACGTGTATAGCGAACTCCGTTTCTATGACTACTTTAACGAATCATTAACGAATAATCACAGCTGACTGGTTCATAAATACTAGTGGATATTCTTGAATCAAAATCCCGGCACTTGTTTTCTCTTTGAGGAGTGGGGAGATGTTACCCAACAGAACGCAGAATATTTTATCCCTCCATTTCATCACTTGTTATGGTGCGTCTTTGAGATCTAATGCTTTTACGTGTCACTGTTTTAGGGCTATAATCGCCACCAACCATCCTCATGACTATTTGCACATTAAATAAATTTTAGTTTACGTCTAGGATATGACAGGGTTGCAGCAACATAATTCTGTCACATCTTTCCCCGGGATTTCTCGTTGCAACCATTTATACGTTATAGTCAGCCGCGCATATCAGTCCATCGTTCGGTAGTAGCACTTGATCTGTGAGGTCAGATGATTCCATCCGTCACACCTAATTCTTCTAGCTTCCTTCCACGAATCGTGTTTAGATTTCTGACACGCACAAATGATCATAGAGTGGCTTAATTTGGGCAATCACACTCCATTGGGTGTAGAATTTATGATTAGTTTGCTGTCCCTTGTCTACGTATTGAGGACATCCTTGGGAAATTCAGGCTTCCCGCGTGAATTGAATCACCTCTAGACTTTGATTGGCTCGCAAAATTCGACTGTGACATGTTTTGTCAAGCGTTTGAAACTACGAACTATATCAGATTATCAAGTGAGACGGTATGACCCTTGTTTTGGCACCAACTCCCCGTATATGGCGCATGGGATGATAGTAAACGTTATTTATCTGGAATAGCACAGGTGATAATGCGTCCGTTTTTATGGAACTTGTGGTTTAGCGGAAAAATTCCAGCGTTAGGACAATGGGGCTCTACCCACTTCTGACTGACCATAATTCAATGTCCCATTGAGCGAAGCATATTCTTTTCACTCATTCTTGCCAAGTATTTCCAATTGTAAATCATAACGTCTATAGTGATGGCCTAATGTAACGGTTTGGATTTATCGAAACAATGTTCTCCTCCCGATGGTGTGCACATCTGGTCTCACCGAAGAATTCAGTGAATGATTGACTCAGATATTTTTTGACTACTGAAACGATTTGTAGTAGTTTGTACATTAACATTGGTTTTCGACCCAATGCAGTTAATGATTCAATTTGCACTACCGTTGACTGACTTCATTTTGTGCCTTTCTGTAGGAACTAGAGAGCCACTGTCGTGTTGCTCGCCGGGATCTGTTTCACGCCGAACTGGACGTTTGCTTGGGCCTGGAATTTTGCCTCGTGCCTCCGGATTCAGAAATCTTACCCCATTATTTGAGTATCTGCAAGCGACTAGATCTAACACCTCCAAATCCGATTCCACATTTTAGCTATGCACAGCGTTAATCATTTGTGCATTTTTATCTGGTGAATCTACTTAAGCTCTGTTGTTACTGCTCCCGCTCCTATCGTTGTCTTCATTTTACTTTATTAATGCATGGTATATCAATCAAATCTTTTTCCGCATTTTGCCTTCTTTGTTACTCTACGTATAAATCGATTTTCCAACTTTTTAATTCCATTGCTTAGCTCTACCATACATTTATCCCTAGTACATGCCGAATTACTGGCGATTCTCAATGCCACTGTTTTCGCTCTTGCATTGATCCGCCATGTTATACTGCCACTTACGCTTTCGTTTGCAAGCAACCCTTGGCAGTTTTAACTTTTTATATTTCTCAACAGTTTATTTTGCAATTGAACCGACTTCATGATAACAAACGACTTATTCCTTCTTTAGTAAGTCAAGACCCTCACTGAAGATGTTCCTTGATGTTGCTGTACTGTACATTACCACTTATAGGCGACTGATTATTTTCCCTGTAATTAGGCAAGAAGGTGCATTCTGACGGGTTCGGTTATCTCATTGCTCGTTTGGATATTTTCCGGCTGACTGTTTCAAATTCGAACACACTCATCTTTTCGGTACTTTAAGGTCTGTATTTATATATTAGGGTTGCAAACCATACGACTTGCTAGTGTTTGGCTATGGACGGTGTTACGAGCCACTTTCTAACAAATGACCACAAATCACTTTATTGGAAGCTGACAACTAACTAAAGCTCTATGTAACTTCTTCGTAAAACAAACCATACGTTTTGCTGTGATGTGAGGAAGGGGATCGGTAATATGATGCACACTATTACTTAAATGGGACCGAAATTGGTATTGACCTACTGATATGTAGCCTGATTGCGATGAACCAATAAGTGTTTATTTATTTATAAATGATTCCTTCTAAAATCGTCTACTCATAAACAATCAACAACCAAACGTTACTGGTTCTCCAAAATGTTGTGTGGATTTACGACCACTGGCAGTAGAAGTCCTGACTGCCAGTCACAATCCTCTGCATGGCAGTGCTGGATAGATCCGGCTATATCGCATTTAGGTTCCAATCCGTGATGGTCGGCTATCGTCCCGCATGGCTTAGTGGAATATGCTGACGGCTAGTGGTGTAAGCCACTAGCGGTCATGTGTTCGGTTCCAGGAAGGTGTTTAGTGAATAACGGGCATTATTGATCTTCAACCAAGCGTGTTTTCCAATTTATGTGACCAAATCAAGACCAAATGAGTGTTGGGTTAAGAATTCTTTTCGTGTAAACTCTCATCGGACCCAAACTTTTACATGGCAGAGATTAAGTGTTGTTAGTGTCAAATCGGGCTGAAAACTGATTTCTAAATTTTTCCAGTCGACAATCGATAGCTCAAGGTTAGGCTGTAGTTGGTGAGCAAAGCAAAACTAGTACACCATAGATTCTTGGATGACAATCAGATGGTTACGTAACATTGTCCGCTGGCCAAGGAAGTAGTAACAGACGTATGTACCGTTTTTGCATGCCTAGTTCGAGCCTTAGATGTCGGATATGAATAGCCTTAGCAATTGATAAGAGATGCTTACGTGAAACGTTTTGGTAGTGAGTATATGACATTGACCTCATCCCCAATGACTGTCTGGCTAAGATCAAAGGGGCATGACATAATAGAGCTGTTTGAAGATCTTATCTCACCTTTGTAGAACCCGGCCGTAGTGTGCTCGCGAATCCTCTTAGGCGCCTGACAGTGCGACCCACATATCGTGCTCCTATGGAGCACGAGTACCGATAAACGAACATGAAAGGGGTCAACGAAGAAAACTCATCCTTCAAAGTTTCTGCAAGCCGCGGATTGTTTTATTACTCATTTCTCAATCATGCCACCAGATACGTTTAATCAGCAGCATCTTTCAAGCGTCGCGATAAGATATCAGCAACAGAATCACCTTTAAATAGCAAGTGCATAAACAGCTCTTTTTTGAGAGCAATGCTTTTAGCTAGTTTGCGTTTGTGTTTCTTCAGATGCTTCTAGATAAATTTGTCCGGAAATCCATTTTCTCTCAGAGCATCGCTGATTCTCTGCAATTCTTCGTTCACGATATCCCGTGTGCAAATACTGCACGCCCTGAAGGCGAGAGATCGGATCAAACTTATATTGCACTGTAGCGGCACTGCACTGTAAATGTTCATGTATGCTTTCTATACATTTTCCTGCTGATAGGTCCATCGAAGTTTCAGAGGATGTCTACGTCCAAAAAGCTTAGTTGATTTCCGAATTCATACTTGCATGTGAAGTGGAGATTCTCAAGCGCGTCATTCAAAGCTTGCAACGACTGCGTTGCATGCTCTTCCGATTCGCAAACTACGAAAATCTCATCCACTTAATGTACATACATTTCGATCTCATCGATATACATTCTAAGTTCCAATTTTGCCATAAAAATGTCTGCCATCATGGGACCCAAAGATCCCATGACCACTCCATTAATCTGCCTCTACATTTCACCATTGAAGATGAACTGAACGTTTAGCGTACACTGAACTACTACTTCTTTAAGCAAAGTTTCCGGAAATATTGCGTAAATGGGCAGTTGTCGAGTCACTTCGTACATACTTCTGAAAGGGATCGAGGGTGTGCGCACCACTGACATGCCTCAGTACGGCGAAACGATCATCTTGTGCGTTCCCGGATTAGGAGTTGATCTTTCCGATTCTTAATGTAATTGCGATAGTCCAAATAAATCCGTCTATTCTTAAGTAATTAAATGAGACAGGGATTTGAGAAAGCTCAAACGCAACCACTCATGAGGAATTTGAAAGCAAATCTAAGTTAGAAGCTGCACAGGACAGTGTTGGCCACTAGATCCACGGCTTCGCTTAACTTGCGTGACAGTAGGTAAGTGCTTTATTTAGTTTACGAGTCATGGCAGTTTGCTGCCGTCACTCATAGCCCAGTGGCATGTTTTCGGTCCCTGGTAGTGTGGGAAAACGAGAGGTTAGGATGGGTGCAAATAGTTGCATGGGCTAGAACACGGACTTCCAAGGTAGGGTGTGTAGCAGAGTCGTTGGGTCCAAGATTTTGTTATTAGTTATTTATGATGATCTTGTGGACCAGAGTGCATCATCGGTGGGCCGTCGGGGAGAGCTGCTCGGACTGCAAAAAGAACTAACTTGTCTAGAAAATAAGTCCACATGACATTCCCGACGGTGCGCCTGGGAGGTGTCACTCCCCTCACCGCACTCCAGTCCCCGGTCCTCGTCTCCCCACGAAATCCGTCATCCTCGTCGGCAAAGCCTAGCCAGGCGTTTGGGGACCAATCCGTTCATGGGTGTCTGCGTCCAGGGTGACTGTCTGCTTTTTGGGTGACGAAAGGAACTTTGGGACGGCTGGCGGGTCACTCAGGGGTTGCGTTGAGCCGGTAGGCGAGTCACCTGAGGGTTGGCTTGGCAGTTCCGGCGGTTGAGTTTCTGGAAGGCAGAACTCTGAGGAGGTGGGCAAGGGTCGGAGGAAGTGGCTTGACACCGGAGAGGGAACATGTCATGCATGATAAAAGCAAATACGCTCTTTAAGTTTTCGAAATGTTTTGGTCTTTTTGTCAATTTTGCAAAACGTTTGTGTACAAGACGCACAGTTACCACTAAAAAGGAAAATTGCGTGTTAATGGAAATAGCAGATGATTACAAAATCTGAAAAACGGACCGGTTCTTTGACCTGTCTACCGCGTGATTAGGTTGCCTATGGTTGAGGCCGGGTAGGATGATAATCAAGGGGAACGGAGGATTTCGGGTTATCCAGTGCTCGGGAAGTAACAGCAGGTGCGCGTGCTTGTGTGATAGCATCAGGATGGGCTGCAAGTGGTTCGTCAAAGAAAGCCACTTTAGGGCGGTCGATGGACACCGTTGTTCGGTGACCATTCTGGTCTCATGTGAAATGTTTCGGAGTCACTTGCAGGACTCTGAAAGGGCCAATGTAGAGATGCTGGAGAGGGCGCCGCACTGCGTCGGTGCGGAGGAAGACGTGAGTGCAGGTAGAGAGTCGGCTGTGCATTTGCACATCTCTAGTCTGCTCGCGGGGCGGCGTCCGGCGTAGTTTAGGCATGTGTTGAGCTAGGGAGGACTAAAAGTTAGGCGGTGGCATAGCCGACGATGCGAGAGGTAAAACGAATTCTCCTGCCAACTTTAGCTTTGTGCCGTAAACCACCTCTGCTGATGCACATTGCAAGTCAGCTTTGATGCTGCTGTGAATGCCTAAGAGTACGAGCGAAACGTTTTCGCTCCAGCTAGGGTCGGTAGAGGCGCAAAACGAGGCTTTTAGCTGTCTATGGAAGCGTTCAACTAACACGTTGGCTACTGGGTGGTACGCTGTGGTATGAGTGCGGTAACAGCTTACAGAGTTGCAGAACGTATCGAAATGTGAAGATTTGGAAGGCATTCCTCTGTCAGTTGTAATGGTGGATGGGCATCCGTACTGCGAACCCCGCCGATCTATGAAGGCCCGGATAACAGTCTCAGCTGTGCCCTCTGTTACGGGAATGGCTTCTGGCCATCTGGTGTAGCGGTCGACACATGTAAGAATATATACGAATCCGCATGAAAAAGGCAAGGGAGCTACTAGGTCTAATTGTTCGGGTTCAAAAGTTCTGGGACGCATTATTCGCGTCGTAACGGGGAATACTGGGACTATCGGAAAAGGAATCGCCAGGTGAACGTAGTGGTTGTCCATATACTAACTTGTCGCTAGGCGTACGTAGATCAGCCTTTAGAGCTGATCGGATCCCAAGGAGGATCATAGGCAGCATCTCAGTCCAACTCAGAGTATTGGCGGCGCTAAGTAAGGCTTTCAGCTGTCGGTGGAAACGTTCCACCATGCCGTTTGCCTGCGGATGGTAGGCGGTCGTGCGAATGCTTCGGCATCCAATGAGTTTAAGAAGATGGTTAAAGATCGAAGATTCGAAAAGCGGACCACAGTTTGTCGTCATTGTGGCTGGACAGCCGTGTGAAGCGACCCAACGCTCAACAAAAGTGCGTGTTAGGGCTTCCGCAGCTACGTCAGTGACAGGAACGGCTTCGGGCCAACAAGTGCAACGATCGATTATGGTCAAAATGTAGACCATTTCTTTGGACGGGGCCAGAGGTTCCACTATGTCGAGATGGACATGGGAAAATCGCGCTGAAACGGACGAAAAGCGACCAAGCTTAGCGGAGACGTGCTGCTGAATCTTGGCTTGCTGGCAGTTGTGACAGCTGCGTGTCCAGCGCGTAAGATTGCGTTGCATCCCCGGCCAAACGTGTCCTCAGAGACAAGCTTAGCAGTAGCTTTAATGCCTGGGTGGGCGATATTGTGGAGGGCGTCGAAAACGATACGGCGAAAAGTTTCTGGAACGACGGGTCGAGGTCGTCCGGTAGATGTGTCGCATACAATTTTACCATCAGATGACGGCAGATGGTGTGGGGATGTCTTCAAAGAAAAATCACGGAGTTCCGAAAATCTTCAGTCATTTGGTTGCGCTGTGGCCATAGCAGACAAATCGATTG